TCGGAATTGCCCATTCGGCTCAGTCAAATTCCTCTCGGCATCCCAACCAACCCCAGGTAGACGACCTGCCTGCCGGACTCCCGCCTTGGATCCCTCCATGATACATACCTACATAGGCTAGGTACGTACGTACAGATCCATTGCTCGAGGCGGCCGTTTTGGCAGCTGATCAACTAGCAGGAAGATGATTTGTCGGTGCTATCAAGGGGGCGGGCGGAAGCGTCAGTAAAAAGACAAACAGAAAAGAGGCAAAGAGTTCAGCCACAGGCAAATTGGCAGGGAGTCCGGCTGCAGGTCGACGAAAAGGGATAGTCGGGGAAGGAGACGAGTCGCACAGAGAAAAAACTGGAGTGCATGATAGACAGCTCAGCACACCAATATTGGCAGTCTCATATTATTTGAGGTGGCAGCTGGGTGGGAAGGTCGGACAAGTGAAGTTAGGCCACGATAGGTACGCTCTCTAGTCTCGGTGTAAAAATTTATCAGAAAATCCGTAGTGGAGGGTAAGTATGTTCGTCCGTTTCCTCCATCTATCATACATAGCGGCTATAGAAGAAGTATCGTTCATTTTCTATTTCCCGACAGTTTCTATTTAACAAGAGTTGCAACTCCAGCAAGCCACAGGAGTAACTAACTTAACGGGCATTGCTATCACCTACTATAACCAGTTTTGTCCCCCATTAGGGGCAACATTTATACCCAGCAGGGCCCGTCTGGAGTTCCATCGCATATGCCTCCCCGCCAAGGAAAGGCGAGTAATGGCGCTGACAAACCGCATAACGTTGAGGAAATTCCGTAACTCCACGTGCCTGGCTTACGTCCAGTTACGACTCGGGAACTGATTTGCGGATAGAGTCTAGAGTGAGGCTCATGATCGGCATCCCGACAGACGTTCCCCCTTTTCCTACCGCAGCCCTGCTCGGACGGATGAGATCTTAGTGGCTATCCATCCACCACCCGTGGCTAGCAGAGATCTTCCCCCGTGGCACCTCCTAACCTCCTGCATGAAATCCGAACGAGATAGCGATGACGACCGCTTAGGAATATCTCTGACGCCATCATTCCTCTTCGGCGCCTGGGATCTACAAAGGCAAGCTTTGGTAGTTAGCGAATATTTCATGTACGAGAATGCCGAAGCCCGTAAGCAACGTAGTCAACGGGTTTGTGGAAATGATATATCGAAAAAGCCCAGGTCTTGGCACCGGCCGAACGGTGTGTGGCCAAGTCGAAAAGCACCGGATCTACTACTCCTTGCCTAGTCCGACGAAAACCACTGCAGTTGGTGTAAGGCCGAGATCTCATCCCCGTAAGACAGGGGCCATAGTGGCATCGTCTTTGGAGGCTGACCGCTAGATCAACTTTAAACTGATTAAGATCTTCTAGAAATATCAGGAATCATCTAAATTTTGGTGATGGTGTAAGTGTTGCTACCCCCTTGGCAACGGCCGTATAACGATCCATCCAAAATTCGAATTATATACACTGTGCCTTAAGCAATCCTTTTTCATGCCGTGTTGAAGACCGAGTTCATATGTATCTTCACCGAGGTGTTTGCTGTATGGTTTGGGGACATCCCGTAACTAAGTCGATAGAAAGCCTCTGGGGTCTATTACAATGCAGGAGTTGCCATGCATGCCTACCTTTTAATGTACATCTAACTATACTATCCAGATTCATAGCCAATACTTCCCCTTACACTTGGACGATAGAACGTTTTTGTCACACGTACCCCTTGTCTTTCCACATCTGGACTTACTAATGTGTACTCCCAATTTAAGTGACCGCGTCAAAAGTCGTCTGAGACAACTAGATATGTACGACCGGGTGATTCGACACTATGGCTAGGTTCTTTATGTGCCATATATACCCAACGTCCGCCGTATGTATATCGATTACGGAATCAAAATGAGTCGGTCACGGAATAGGTAGGTCAAACCGATGTAAGCCTAATTTAATCCAGAATACCGATAGAACACGAGACTTGAAGCAGAAAATTTCTTCCTGGACGATCTGGGATACGTTTTAGAAGCACGGCTTGTCCCGAACCTAAAAAACTTTTTCCTTCGCGGCAAATATGCACATAAGTATTCACGTGTGCTGGAAAGCGCTTGCTTAACTGCTAGCAACTGCAGTGTAGCTAGACTAACTGGTTAGAATCACTAGATTACGTATCTAAGAATGGATTAACCGCCATAGAAATATGGCCAGTAGAGGACATTTCGGTATTAGAAACGGGAACAGCTTGTTTCTATGGAGCAACAACACGACGACTACTTGGTACCTACTAGTTATATCTTATAATTATATGCTATGAAAGTTACTTAGTAGGTCCTTCTGAACTTGAGACTTCCTTGCTAGTAACTAAGCTACCTGTTATTCATCTACAGATATACCAGGTAGATAGGTAGGATCAAGTTGAACGTTAGCTATGCTGGGAATTAATGCAACCCGCTCTCTAAGCCCTAAATTCACACGTTTATAACCTCTAGTGTATCGAGTCGTCTAGTTCCAATATATGACACATATGATATTTCTTTTGACGGTAGTAGAGTAGAATGATTTCAACATTCTCCTGAATCATAACCACCCAGCCTACCTAGGTATATACATCGTTCTACTCGGGCCCCAATGTTCCAATGCCGTCGTTCAAGTACAGACAAATGTTCAACATATCTCTTATTTTACTCAGGCAGATATCAGTTAGTTTGTGTATAACGTACCCCAAACCAGAGATGCTGAATACCTATCTACCTCATTATTAGAGACGGTGCTAGCAGCCGCCCACGCCCCCTTTTCCTTACACCCCCCACGCTAAAAGCAAGACATGCCTCAGCTATAGATCGTGTTTTTCACCAGATTACATCACAAAGCCCGGATATGTATGCAGCTTGAGATCTCGCCTGAGTTACCTAGTCGCCCAAAATCTCTCGAGTCACGGTTCTGATCACAAGAAGGACTGGGCAGCGAATACACCAGTAGAGAAGACAGGAGCTGAATCCGGATATTGGCATTGAATATATACATCCTTGCATCACATCACATGCTGCAGTCGGACATAACCGATATGAGTGCAGGTCCTACCTCGGGAACGAATTCCCCAGCTTTGGTGAGGGGGATCTCTCTCTCTTTTACCTACTCCTTTACCTCCTTAAAGCAGGCCAATCTAATGCATAACTTGGCCCTGACTGTCCCCTAATCTGGAAACCGCAGCATCGGTGTGTCTGATACTAATGAAGACACCAGTACTACATTTTATGACGTATTCTATGAGGTTGAGATTATTGTTATGTGTATAACGCTGGAGTTGATGACCGTAAGGGTATGGGTGTACTAACCAGTCTGAATATTAGGCGACGGGGTACGCGGTACATTGTTATTAGAGTAGACTTCGAAGCATTGCCCACTTGAGACCAACATACCTATCATTTAGCTATTGTAAGCCGCACCTCAATCGGTGAGAACTTAGGCTGCCCTACCCCTGACTATGGCTATCATACCAAGTCGGATGAAACACTGTCATTTTGTTTTGATCGATATAACAATCATATATTCCCGCCAAGCTAAATTTCCCCGTCGATACACAATGCCAGAGTAAGAAACAAGTCCTAAGTAAAGCTATCATGACCACGCAAAGTACCATGGGGTCTGCCCCCGAGGATACAAACCGTAACCTATAAGGGGCTTTACGAAGAAAGCAGATATCAGTATCTAGACTTCAGCACGGACGGGAGCCAGAACCACGGAAGACATACCGATATCATCCAAAAGAAGCCCAGGCCAGTGATACACAATACACATAAACGTATCCCTCCCGAGCTAACTACTTACCGCTTATCTATCGACGTGAACCTTAATCATCTCGCCGAGCCTTTGTTCGATCCAACTAACGTTATGCATACTCTCTTTACCAAGTCCATTTATCTGTATACTCCCCCTACCAACGACTTCCTCCTAGTCTATCTACCTTAGGTTAGGTACCTATCACCCATTCCCATTCTTACTATTCAAGCCTACGACCACAGCCCTAGACCAGCTCTTCAGACCGACACCTGCTCCCGCACATAACCCTCCTTTGGAGTCATCTAAAGTATTATAACGGTAATATATAAGTTAGGTAAGTACCTAGGTGCTCACAAGAAACACCACTTACCACAGAGACCTGTACACTAGGTCCTCCTCTCTCCACCAGCAACCACCTATCATCATGCCCTACCATCTAATCCCCCATCCTCCCTGTCATACGCCCAGACCTAACCACCTTACCGTAAAAACAACTTCCGCAGAAATTGCTTCCCCTTTCCAAGGACCTCAACATACCCCTAAGAAGCACCCCATTTAAAACAAACCATATCACATAACATCACCGATAAAGCCGATATATTTACGTTGGGGCTAAAGCTTTCTATTATTTTATCCCTTTTATCATATCCATACCGGGAGTATCTATTCGTTCGGCCTCATATTCGAAAAAAAGGTCGGTCGGTCTGTCTCTTATTGATTTGAAAGTAAAAAAAATAAAAAAAGGCCCAAGCTCCTGGCTAACTGTTCCTCGCGCCTTTGAATGCTTCATTGTTACTTCGTAGCCTCGCGGCATCAAAAATTGCTTTTGACGCTGTAAGCTTGCGCATTCTCCCCTCCCTCTCATGTCCAACCCTAAGAAAAGGAGAATGTCCACCCCACAGCTAGCGCTTGTGCCCTCCCCTTGACCCCCGTGTTACGCTTTATATTACCGCCGCGTAGAGCCTCGCTGCTCTCTATCCATCAGCAGCCGAATTGTTATCCTCATATATTCCCGTCTTTCATATACTCCTCGCTGATGGCAAGTCCCCCTCTCCCTCGAAGGAAACTGTTCATGGCGTAGTCCAAGCCAATAACACTGTCTCGAAACGCCAGGACATGATTCGAATCTGGTGTCGTATGCGGGTTGCCTTTGACCGTAAGATCGTCGCCGTAAACTATGCTTGCCGCCTGTAGAAACGCTCTGAGAACTGCAACGCTCTCTATTGGCCGTTGAAATGATCCTCGTATCCGACCGCGCTTGACTCCATGTTGTGATAGTCAAGAATCTCCGAGTACCTGTTGCCTCGAAATTGTTAGTCATCGACGCCTCACATGTGGATTCGGCTAGACGAATGCTAATTCAGGAGGCATGAAAATACTCACATCATGATCTTCCATGTGTCTACAGGCAAATCAGCATCGTTGAAACTCCAGTCGAATTTCTCCTCAGCGACAGGTTCGTCGGTGGGGTCGTGGTAAGGAGCAAGGTATTCATGTGCCAGCGCGTCGGCAGCAGTGATTCGCTTCTTAGGGTCGAATACTAGCATGCGTTCAAGTAGATCGACGGCTACGCAACGGTCAGTAATGTTTACAAGATAGCGTATAAAATTTGGAAACAAACCTGCTGGGTCAGCGTTCTTGAACTTGTTTTTAAGAGGTTGCCGTTCCCGTTTTGGTAAAGACTTGACGAATCTCAATGTCTACACTCTGAGTCAGTAGGAGTCGCCAAACGATAGGGGAGTCGACATACGTTCTCGCTGGCAATTGTGTTGATAACATCATCGGGAGGAGTACCGAGCAACTCAGTGATGATGGAGAACTGATTGACGTGGTCCTTTCCAGGGAATAACGGCTTTCCCTCGAGCATTTCGGCGAAAATGCACCCTGCACTCCAGATATCGACTTCCACGTCGTATTTCTGCCAGGTGAGCATGATCTCCGGAGCGCGGTAATATCTTGTCGAGACGTATCCGGTCATCTGGGGATCCTGAACTCGAGCAAGACCAAAATCGCAAATCTTCAGATCGCAGTTCTCGTTGACCAAGATGTTGCTAGGTTTCAAATCGCGATGGACGACGCCAGCGGAATGGACATACTTTAGACCTCGCTATATTTTTCACCCATCAGCCCTTTATCCCCTATCACCCGCAAAACGCGGAGAGGGCACACGCACCATGATTTGGTAGAGGAAATATTGGATGAACTGCTTTTCTAGAGGTCTCGACGTGAGGAGTCGGTGCAAGTCTGTCCCGAGCAGTTCTGTGACAAAGTAGCTGGTAGACGTGTTAGCGCATTATGATAGGCTTTAGGCTCTGTTCTGGGTATGCATACATGTCTTCAAGGGGCGAGATGAAGATATCGTTGAGGGAAATGACCTGGAGACTGGCGTGAGTAATGATATAATGATATAAATCTCGTCTAGGAAGACAACTTGAACTAACATTTTCGTGTTTGAGGTGTTTCAGTAGCTTCAGCTCTCGGTACGTTCTCTTGGCTAGGACGGGAGTGCTAAAGGGCTTCATAATCTTCTTGACAGCGACATTTTGATTTGTGAGCTGATCTTTCGCGGAGCTGCACGAGGTTAATTTCAAATTTGGTTAGTTATTAGGTTCTAAGATCGAAATTGTTCGGCGCGGTGGTAAGCAGTTGGGCAACGACATGACGTACCAGACCAGACCAAAAGCACCCATGCCCACAGGCTGCAGATCCGAGTATCTATATTGTAGAATATTATGTCAATTCGGAGTCGGTTGGTAGGCGGCACTGCGAAAAGCCGGCATACCTAGAAGTGATCTCGAACGTCGTTCCGAAGATCTGAGCTCGTACGAATTCGGCCATGGCGAATAACGAGCTATGGTTTATTATAGGAGGCGGGGTGGGTGAGAAAGTTTGAACGGCGATCAAAAAAATAAAAATAAAGGTGAGACGACGGAGAGGGTTGTCAGCTATCGAAACGAGGGGGGGGAACGAGGGGCAGAAATCAAAGATAGCCGTGTACAGTTAGGTTAAGTTTACTGTATAAGTCGGTACCTAGGGGATAAGCGTGGCGTAGACAAGTATAGGTAGACAGACTTTAACGACCTTTCCTCTCATCAGTTAATTCTTTTTCTCCTCTTCTTTTTATTTTTCTTCTTATTCTAATTTTGAATGGGCAAATATAGAAAAAAAGAAAGAAAAAAAGTATAGAAGGCCAAGTCCAAAATGAATGGCAATGTTGAAAATGCCGTTGAGAGATGGGAAAAGTGGGATGAAAGAACAGGATTTTCCAGTTGAGAGAGTTGGGCTGTGCTGTGGATAAGGTTTTTGGAACACGTCGGAACGGCGATTCGAAGACACTTTTCCAGTGGCGATCGCGATCGAGGGTTTCTATGTAAAAATAAGAAACAAAAATGCTAGACCTTTTACCTCTTAGCAAGTAACGCTACCTAGTACGTACGCTATCTACGTACGCTATCTGGCTATGCACCTATTAAGGGCTACCCCTGACCATTCGCGGTGCGGGCGTTGCGGGCAAAGGCGTGACAAGTGGCTAATGCTATGCGAAAGCACCTAGTGTATGGATGTATAATAATAGGTAGAAAGTACTGTACAAGTAAAGCCTCTATGGGAGCCTACTAATAAGTATGGGCTTAGCCTGTCGAAAAAGTACTTGTACTAAACAGATGTAGGTAGAAGAGGTAATTGGAGGTTAGGTAGGCTGGTAGGAAGTCAGGGTAGGTGTGAGCTATCGCTCTACCCTTATGTGCTTTGAATCACTAGTGTAGTAGGAGAAGCTAGGCCCACTTATAAAAGAAACTACATGTACCTACCTTGGTAAGGTATTGTAAGGTACCTCTTTCATACCTACTTACATACATAATTTCAAGTACCATAACCACACGGGTTTAGTCTAGGTATGGTCTAGTAATAAACAGTTGTCGTTTTCAAGACCCGAGAGCCTCCAATAACGAATGCGTTATTAATTTCGTGCTGTTGCCGTTGTTGTGTTGCAACGTCCGTGGAATAATATAAACTAACTAGGCTCAGTTTAGCGATAGTACAATAATATCAGATATAGGATATAATCAGTCAATCATGGGAAGAGACGATGCCATGCCATGCCGGTTAGCATGATGCACGGCTATCTGATGTTTCCCATCTCTGATACCTTATATACCTAACTTGCAGCCGGTGCCCCAACATGGCAGTTAGTAGTGTATGTTGTATCCTTATGTAATATGTAATAATAACGACTAAAAGATACAAGTACAATGCATATGTGTATACAAAATAGTTCAAGGTTATATACTGTTATCTATGAATAGTAACAGAAACAAATCAGAGTAACAAGATCAACCACGCTCACCCCCCAAAACTAGGATCGTACAGAGAAAAAGAAAGGAAAAAGGAAAAAAAGAAAACTTTTTCAAAGATGGGATTTGACAGAAATGCCGTCCCAAGGTTGTCCTAATATTCTAAATGCGAACCTGACCGCACGTGGTGGGAAAAACAGGGTGTCGATCTCTGCTGGCATCCGTTGATAGGTAGCGTTCGACAATATAAATTCTTGAAGTGGTGGGAAGAACGAGGTGCCGACCGGGTCTCAGTAGGTGTTACACGAGGATCGGCCCGTTAAAGCTACCTGTTGCGATTATATATTATATATATACCATATAATGTATATCCAGGTGTAGGTAGGTTAGGTATTGTATGTAAATACATAGTAGGTTGGTAGTAAACCCGGAAGCAAGGGTTTTGAGTCTCATCTCGATAGATGAATAACGATTGGCCTGGCCATGTTGTGTTATTACTCCCCCAGAGATAAGAAACCAATGCTTTAAGAGAGCTGTCAAGCCCGAGGCGGCACAGCATGAGGCTCTTAACCCGTGAGTTGCATTTATGATAGGACCTACAGATTGCATTGATATCTTTCTATCTAGTGCCGCCCGAGCTCGCAAGATTATTTGTCGAATTTATGACAACGACTTCATCGACGTTGAAGCAAGCGCAAGCACATGCACACCGAGTAGGGGATATGTTGAGTTGAAGATGCATAGATGCATACATAGGACTACTGTGTATACCTAGATGTTACTACAGTAGATGCAGTATTGCTTTTGCGTTGGTGAGTGTCACCCTGATGGTAGGCTAATAAGGCCGACGACACTGGGGTTGGCCGGCAGAGGTTCCAATAGGTACTTCCGCCCCCTTAAATAGGTACTTCCGCTCCCTTACAGCGCTTTGCCGATTCCGAGCCATACTATGTACCTATGTATGTAATGTATGGAAAGTTCATCTTCCGAATCATAACTCGACGAAGCTGCCAGGCTGCGAAGGCACCTTCGATAGAAAATGCAAGATGCCTGCTCTGAAACCAGCACCGGCAACCAATCAGGTGTACGCTATTCTCCTCTTAAAGACGAATGACGTCATGCTCCGTTACTCCTCCGCTGCCCCTCAATTTTGTATAGGCGCAAAATCCCCAGGTAAGCTGGTAAGCAAGGTACATCCCAGGTCAGACATGCTGCAGTCGGCAACTTGATCCTACTTTGATCCGCATCTCCAAGTGCGCGGGTATGCTGGCAGTAACATCCATGGTAGTAACTAGGTAGTAGTAACACCCAGACACCCAGTCGCAATAAATAAAGAGATTTGTTAATGTGATTTATGCTAATAAGCCCTTTGGAAGGGCCAAGTAAAATGCCCTTCAGGATCCGACCGTATGCATGGCAGGCCCTTCGCAAGGTATCCGACAATCGAATTCTACGCGTACCATCGCCGATGCATGTATCCCATCAGCCTCAACCTCCGTCCGCTGTCCGCTGTACACTATGGCCATAACATCCCTACTGCCCTATAGGGCCTATAAGAGCCACTAACCCCAAATCGCAAAAGAGGGCCCGTGACCCGTTTTCCAGCGGCGCTAGCACCTGAGATCCTTAGGTAACGGAACGAGGCGGTCTACAAAAATTGCATAGTGTACCAATCGAGGTACCTAACCTTGTGGAGTTGGTCGTGCTGGTCGTGGTGTTCCTCACGATCCGGTCAAAGGCTTCTCGGCTCACCGTCCTGATTAGGTAGTAAGTCCTGCATAGGCAGATAGGGTACAGCGGAGGAGGAGGGGGGAGGAGTTCGAAATGGCCAGGGCACGACTACATACGATGACGTATGTCGATTTTCCTACTCTCAATCGGAGGACAGACCGGGCCAACAAAACCCTAGAAGTCAAGACATCCCCATATGAAAAAGAATTCCGGGAGTTGGGGAAGGACGAATATTGGACATATTTTGACGTCTCCAGATCTTCACTTGGGCACTTGGAGGACATGCGGACCCGGAGCATTCGCTCCATCAGTTATACTGTGTAGGTATCTTATGGGTTTGAATTTGAACTTTACCAGATGCTGACTTATTAGATAAGCAATCTGGTAGGGGTAAACCGTAAAGGTATAAGACCTATTGACGTCATTCTCAGGTAAGAACGGTAAGAACGAGAAACCGGCGTGCCGCATACACTCACACTACTTAACGTATGACATCGTTAGTTAGCACCAACACAAACAATCCTACCTTATTTCCAGTATGTTAGAAAGCCCAAGCATATTTGGTCATACAATATCGTACGAGAATAAGTTTCTTTTCGCAAGACAAAAAAAAAAAAAAAAAAAAACTTTAGCTAGGGATATCGTCATAGTTACCTCTCTTCAAGGTTGGACCCTGAGAACGTAGATAAACAACTGGACCCTGACGATCAATTCTCATGTAAGGCTGAGGGATCGTCTAGGGGATCATCCGATTGTCAATTGACCGGCTGGCTGGTCTGCTATATACATAGTGTACATATGTACACCTTCTTAGTCCATCAAGCAAAGTCGTCACTATCGACGGGATGGGAAACACGTAGGTACCCGGTGAGAGAAAATATCACATTTCTCTCCCGCTCCGTAACCAGCATATCCCTTCTACATTCTACACTTTAACCCGTATGTCTAGGTGTTGTCTAGGTGTAGAGACACCATGCTCGGTGACATCACCGCCGGCATATTCCTCGTGGGGTACAGCACCAATCTTCTATGTAGACCTAGGCCTTTCGCTTAACCATTACCTAAAGTTAGACCCCTTTTCTACGAGCCGTCATAGACTACTACTAAATACTGTACCTGGCGCCGACGGGAGTCGCTCAGTGCCGACGGACAAGTAGGTGGTGACTAGGGCCAGGGTTAGTTGGTGGCTAGTAATCCTCCGGCAACTCTAGGTTAAGAGGTATAATAAATAATTAATTGGTTCAACGGCTTTACATCCGAGGCAATATGACCAAGCAACCGTAGCCCTTTTGTAAGATGGTATGGTTTGCCCGGAGCCGGCATATAGACATCACAAATAGAAGATAGATATTCATTATCCTTCCTATCATAATTGAAGCCCCTATTCCTAATTTCTTCATGTACCCAGGTAGTAACCCCTTCACTATCCCGCCCCGTCTCAATATCTGCTAACTAGGCTGCTCGCGAATAGTTCCTTACGATACGCATTTTCACCCTGAGGGATCATCATTACCTATATGCAATTCCTGAGCGTGGAACCCCTAGTTATATAACCACGCGTAGGTTACCTAGATGGTATACTTTCGAAGAAGGGACTTATACTGTGAGGGGCTCGACATTCCAGATGCCCTCGGCGTACTCGTTAATGCACCTGTCCGAGCTGAAGAAGCCCATCCTGGCGACGCTACGGATGCACTTCGAGACCCACTCGTCCTGGTTGCGGTATTCGTCGTCCACCATCCTCTGGGTATCGATATACGATTGGAAGTCGTCCGACACTAGATAGTAGTCGCCGTGGTCGCGGACGGCCGAGAT